TTTTTTTTTTTTTTATCTGCCCAGGCGTGTTTAAGACATACAGAAAAACAGATGATTGGCTTTTGTTTTTTCTTCTTACGAACTAATTAGTTTATAACATGCAATTACATATTCTAAAATGTAAAGAAAGAAGCCGCAAGACGAAGTTTATCTAATTATTCATTAAAACTTACTTTATATATAACTAAAAAGAAATTCCCGAAGTATATATATATATATATATATATTCTTCAGAAATGCTGTCTGATCTATATTTTGAATATTTAAGAACACACAAACAGTTAATCATTTGACAAACACAGGATTATATTAGTCGATATTGGCTTAATTTTAAAACCCTTTTTTTTTTTTTAAAATAAATTTTGAGTCTCAACTTGTGAAACCGGGATTTATTTTTGTAAACAAATTTTCTTTGAAATTTCCAGATTACAATTTCCAGCCCTTCGATGCATCAACATTAAACGATTATGAATCGGTAGTCCAAACCTAACCACCCCACGAACCGGCTAGATCAAGATTTGACGCTTCGAGCAACCGCAACGGTTGTGTCCCCAACAATCTCTGACAAACACGAACTTACAACAAAGAAACAACCGCTAACATGGGCGCCAGACGCTAACACCGCCCGAGTTTACCCCAACAGAGACGATACCACAACAACAGCCACATCAACAATGATTTTTAGCAATAATTCCACCAAAAAAAAAAAAATGAAATCGCCAGAGGAGGAAAACAAGCGATCGGCGACATCAGCAACACAATCCTTCACCCCTCCCCCTCCAACACACACACACAAACACACACACACACACGCAACCCGACTCTCAAACTGCATCGCTACGGACCCTTTCCAAATCATCAGATCTCACAAGTTCAACTAGACGACCAGTAAGCTCCACAGTTCAATGGGGCACACTCGTAGTCTGCACATCTTTATACATACCGATCACCATATGTCGTTAACCTTGGTCGGCAACTCATCTAAGAGAAGAAAACTCTGAATTCAAACCCGGAGTCGGAGTTCCGGAAGGCGCATACAAGGACAATTCCTGCAACCGTGCCCATCCCTGGTCGTCTTGACGTAGAGTCTTGCCACTGGATATGGTGGGCCCGGACGAGAGAGTGAGGTTGACGCCGCGCAACTCTTCCTCGCTTCAAAAAAAAAATAACAAAAGTCAACCACGCAAGTCATCAGTCACCGGACGACTCGATGGTCCTCGTCGATCCTCGACGGACGAACTTCATACATGTCCGATCAACAGCTTGACCAATATCACCGAGTAGATCAGCAAGATCTCGCTTCTTGACCACCGAGACCCGTTTGATTTCAAAAGCAAAGGAAGAACATCGCCTGGGACATTCGTCGGCATTGTCACGTGAATGGAATTAACGGGGTCGCCATATTGACTTACTGGATTCAGTTTAACTTGTCACCTGACATATGTCATCTTTTCGTATTTGTTTATTCCACCTGGAAATAAAATAACAAGTCTACTTACAAGATGATTGAATGAATTAAATAAATTGAAGAAAAAAAAATGAATTTTCCTTATATATCAAAATACTGCATCAGACTTCGTTTGAAAAAAAGCTGCAAGGTTAATGACATGTTAATTAGGATGACAGTGACATACGTCTTGACAAGAACCATGTCATTTTAGCTTTGCAAGGTGAAAAAAACAATATTTTAAAGAATGCTTCTCAAGTTTTAAAAGTTTTGTTTTTTTCCCAATGGAGTTATACTTAAACCTTCATGTAGAACTATCCAAGTTAACGTAATTTCGCGTTTTAGATATATGTATTTATTTATGTTATTTTTCATTTACCCCTAACCCCTTGGACAACACTTTTAGAACCGCTCTTTTAAATCTAACGCCTACATGTAACAGAATACATTGTTTTTAGTTTGATTAATCATGAAACCAGGACAATGTACAGTCGAAGTTAGGTTTTCAGAATAGCAGCCCAGGCTACCCGTCATTTCAGACGTATTTAGTTTGAGGTATTTGAAAAGGTCACGTGACACAGCAATCGATGGTCCGGGTCGTAATCTTTTATTTTATTTTTTTTATTTGCCGACACAGCACCTCCTTCATACTGAAACAGCACCGACACAGCACCTCCTTCATACTGAAACAGCACCGACACAGCACCTCCTTCATACTGAAACAGCACCGACACAGCACCTCCTTCATACTGAAACAGCACCGACACAGCACCTCCTTCATACTGAAACAGCACCGACACAGCACCTCCTTCATACTGAAACAGCACCGACACAGCACCTCCTTCATACTGAAACAGCACCGACACAGCACCTCCTTCATACTGAAACAGCACCGACACAGCACCTCCTTCATACTGAAACAGCACCGACACAGCACCTCCTTCATACTGAAACAGCACCGACACAGCACCTCCTTCATNTAAAAAAAAAAAACAAAAAAAAAAAAAAACAAACAACAACTATTATGATGAGTAATTAAAATGTTTAAATATGAATCGTTCAATGTGTTTGTTTTGTTCTTTTTTTTTGTTTTTTTTAATACAGAAAAGACAACCCATCATAGCTACAGACTAGACAAAAACTTATACTTAAAAAATTAACAAATTCCTCATATCGTGACAAATCAATAATGCATTGTAACTAACTGTAATTAAGCGGAAATCGGATACCATTAAAAGAATGCTAGAATATATTTAATATTCATATTGTAGACAGAGAAGAAAAAGATATATTGTTTCATTGAATTGATGAATTTGCTAAGTTATCATCATCTGGAACAAAACATCAAAAAAAATGATACAGACCATTTTTCTTTTCTTCCACAAATGATTAGCGTTCATTGTAAATAACTGGGAAACAATATTGCCAATGTAAAAATGTGAGACAATTATTAACTTAAACCCTGGTTTCCTCGTGGAAAATATGGTCAACACAGTTCAATGTTCACTCATGCTACCTCTGTGGTTTCTTGTGAAAACATGGTCTGTTACAGTTTAATTCACGTGATTAGTGGGAACATTTTTTTTTTCAACAACAAACATATATCATTATTTCTTTACAGTTAAATCTTTTTTTTTTTAAAGTTACATATTGGATTTCTGACTCTACGGAAAACTAAAATTAATCCCAACCCTGACCCTAACCCGAAATTTAACGCCGATGTTAATGGGATGAAACCACCAGTGGTGGTCAACTGACACAGACCCTCGGGCTGCGATTCTCGTTGGTCATGTGATCTGTTAGCCTTCTCTTCAATAAAATAGATTTGACTACTCTTAAAAAAAAAAAAATGAATAAATACTATTTATTGTATTTTTAATTATTTGAAAATACATACAATTTGTGTATTGCCTACCTGTAAGGATACCAGGCTGTGATAGTATGACTACGGCTGTTACAAACGCCTAAACAACAACTCTTAGAGGTCAAAATTGGCACTAAGGGAATGGAGTTACATGGCACTTGATAGTTAATTTTTTCCCCCTCTTGTTTAAATTGTTATAGATTAAAATTGTTGTCCTGGTAAGAATATGTAATCTATGTGCTGAAAATGAATATGTTCAATGTTATCGATTAACGATTCCGTGTATTTGATTGATAAAAAAACAACAACCGCATCTTATCTTTAAACGCAGACTGGATGTTTACCTAGAGTTTAACGTTAACACCAGCTTTTCCCATGCTTTCCTTGTTTCAAGTCTAGGTCAACAAGCGCACGGTTTCCCCAGGACGATGAAGAAACACGGAGGAAATCAACTCGGCACAGTTCAAATCTAAGATTAAGAAAATACATTCATTCCATTGGAGTTGAAATCCTTGGAGTTGCTTGACAGCAGGGGGGGGGGGGAGGGGGGGATGGGACACGATGAATAAAACTAGACGGGAGTTAGTAAGTACCGAGTAAATTCAGCATAAGCCAGAAATTTTTTTTTGTAACTTTGGGAACCACAACAGAAGTAAATGATCTGATTTCGGTATACTGGGGGAATGATCTCATAAAGTGGATTCTGAAATTTAAGACACGTCTCTGCATCTATTTACCGTATATGCATTTTTAACGTTTTAATTTATTTCCAAATGAAATTTGAAATCAGGCCATTTTTATATTAAAATGATGCAACTATGTGACTATATGTCAGGTAGATTGATTTTGAAGTAATTTAAAATTTAAAGAATCGTCCCAAAAACATGAGCATGGCAAATTAAAAAAAAATGATTTTAAAAGTCTTTATATTTAAATAAAAATAAAAGTTATTAGCAGAAGTTGAAATTAATTTCTAAATAACGAGTAACCTTTACGTCGGACTACTTTTGGTAAGTTTAAAAAAACATCACATGTTTGTTCATGAAACAAAAATATTTTTATGGTCAAATAGTGGCGAGATCAAAATTTAGAGCCATTGAAAACTAAAGTCCGTATTTATTATTCACTCACAAAAGCTCTACCAAAAAAAAAGAATGAATCAAAAGCGTGGAAACTGTTCTTAAACCTATTGACACAAACTTGTCTAGATTAGCATTAGTTATTTCTAGTGGGCATGAGATGAATATCATGAAAAATAATGTTTTTATTTACACAGAAACGTTGGAGTTTATTTTGAAAATGAAACACTGCGCGTAAACCTATTGAATTACTTTTCCTTTTCAATTTTATTAAAACATTTAACACTATTTCAATTGATTAAAAAATGTTGCTGCTCATTGTTGATAAAATTATTGGCATACACTTATAACTGATTCTTTCTTCAGGGATGTATCTCTTCGTCTCAGTTGCAAGTCATTTCAGACAGCTAGGCAGACACGCTAACACAGTTTATTGCCAGCCTGTCACGCGTTCAGGATTGTGTCTCCGTATGTGTGTTGCTGAAATTTATCAGTGTCATCAATAGTGCTGACGTCATGCACCTCGGAATCCTAACCATTGGTTTGAATTTGATATTCCTTGTGCAATGTAAGTAGGTTTGATTAAGATCGAATAATGCATTCACTATATTGTCAAACAATAAATAGTACCCCATTTAAAGTGCACGAGGTATATTACTGAATAGTTTTTTTTTTATTGCGAAAGGACACAGATAATGAGTCAATATCATGCCTGCCCAAATCTGTGTAAATTTTCCGAAACAATTAACCATCGAGACTAGGGTTCTTTAAGTGTTATTCCAGGTGCGTTCTTCTGCGGGTTCTCTACCCCCCCCCCCCCCTTTTTTTTTAAAACCCCAACCAAGATGAATATTTTTTGGGGACGGTATCAGCCATTAGGGTCACCAAAAGGAAGGCACCGTCGATTATTTGTCTAGCGATGTATGTCCAGTACACAAGTTATCAGTTGTGTTATAAAAATGTTTCAGATCTCTTTCAAGTCCGTAAAAATTACTTTTAGCTGTCTTAAAAACATATCGCAGATCCATTTCAAGCCTGCGTCACAATTTTCTTATGTTCACATTTGAAAACGCTGTCTCCAAATTAAAAAAAAAAATTTGATGTTATCATCTCCGATTGACGTGCATCTGTAAAAGTTTGGTGTTATTTCACACTATTTATCTCATTTAAGAGCCAAATTTTTTTTTCGCTAATGCATTGTCTTTGTGTTAGCATAAACTTACACCTTTGTAGACAACTTATTTCGTTTATATTTTGCTCTACAAATTACAATAATAGCCCCTAATGGAAAAAGGGGGAGGGGGTATTTTCCATTTCTTTAAAATAAATTTAACTTTTCATTTTTCAATTTCAAATTTTTTACAGGTGCCGTAAGCTCCCCGTGTTTCTTTTGGACATCGGCCCTGTACAGCAATGGCTACTGTTATAAATTTGAATCAACTCAGTTGAATTGGACGGACGCCAAGGTAATTGGTTATATCAACGTGGAACATAAAGGAATACCAATTAATCCCATTTTTTTTTTACATTTTGATTTAGATGAGCCAGTCTTCAATCATAAGCAGGATTATGATATTTTTTGGAAACATTGTTTTAATACATGTCTCTAAAACTTTATTGAAAACTTTCCAAATTGTATAATAAATTTCTGGTGATCAGACAGTGATATTGAAGGCACTGTAAGTTCATTTAATATCTATTGCTAAGATATTGAAACAAAATTGTAGTTTTTAAAAGTCGACTGAATAAATATTAACAGATTACCATTTTCAGGCATATTGCTCCGGTAGCATTTCACAGGCGAAGCTGGCAGACGGCGACAACGCAGACTGGGATTACGTAATAAGAACTATAAACCAAACAAATCAAGGTGAGTAAGAATCTATTTTTTTAACCCATTTAAAAAAAAAAAGGATTAATAAGATAATCTTCATTTAATGAATTGAATAGATTAACTTGTTGTTAAGAAGTTGTATGTATATTGTGATTGCTTGTTGTTTGGAGAGTAATTGGGTAGATGTTGCTGTTAAAAATGTTGGTATTTTGTGACGTATTTTGCGTAAAGAGAAATCACGTATTTTTGGCTAAGGTGTTGTGATTGATTAATGGCCGCAGTTGACAATGTAGCTTTTTAGATTTTCGGTTATAAAGATACTTTCTTCTATTATTTCAATGGTTTATGTAGTTACTATAACCCCCCTAGACAAACGAAGCCATCGAATCTGGTAGGATCGGGTTCATTAAAATTGTATGAATATTAACTTTCATGACAAACATAAATACCTATTTCAGCCAAGACAACATTTTACAAATATAACAAATTAAACACAAGACATCTAAAGTATTTCTCTAGCGTAGAACTCAGCAATGATGTACCCCATTTTTTTTTAAAACTAACCCCCTAAGTGACATAATGACTTACTTAGTAATCATTTATATTTGATAACCACTGGGACGGAACTCTGGTACATTCGCACAGACTAGGGGGAAAGAAGCATTTAATGTATATTTCGGGCCTAACCTTAAAGGAAAGAATTCGCACTTTTTGAGATGATCCTAGGCATCTTCGTACGCTTTTCCCTCTAACTGGCCAAACGCGTGATCTAAAAACATTTTTATTTCAATCATTCGTACTTTTACTATTACTCATCCCATCTTTGTTGCCTCCCTTGTCAGTGCGCTCCAAACTATGTTAAACTATTTAATGTATCCATTCTTTTAAATGTAAAAATCGATGGACTTAAACATAATGTTTTTCCTCCCATCAAATGTACGCTTTCCTTACATACCAACGATCCTTCCTTGCGTGCTTTATCCCAAACATACATTAGAGCCCGGTTATGTCGACTGCCTCGGTGTATGCCAAACAGCGTTGAGATAAACTATGATCGAATAAACGAAAACCAATATCACGGCAATATATTAAACACATGTGCGTGAACTTTTTTCACGAATATGATGTGCGTTAATAGATGATAACTTACATGCACATATTTTTTGGAGGTTTATTTATTTTTTTGACACAAAATAGTGATTGCGAGTTGTTCGATGAAGCGATAGGCATGCTATAAAAAATGTACATGCATGTTGGCTAACAACACAAGGCATATGCGGGTGCCACTTTTTCGGATTATTTCGGAATTCCGGACTCGTCAGGCTGAATATTGTTCAGCTCTGGATTCACGAGTTTTCCCATTTCCATCAGCTCCGGATTCACCAGTTCAGTTTATTGAAATACGGAATCTTGGTTTTTAAAGAAATAATACATGTGTTAGAACGCGTGAAAGCCTATTAAGCAACAAGCGGGTTCGCTATAGGTAGAACAGGCACTACGACCTCTCTCTTTTGTTTGCAAGACTCTCGCTCCTCGCTTCTTGTTGTGTCAAGTTAATTGCGCGCAGTGATTATTTCAGAAATTTTCCCCGGGTGGCACTTCAGATTTTTCGGGGGGGGGGGGGGGGGGTGCCGGAGGGGGGTTGGTAGAGGAAATAAGACATACCAGTCAGGGTGGGACATACCAGTCNGGGGCACAATAAAACACCCCCCCCCCCCCGAGATATAGCTGAAAGAAACCCTGATTGCGCGGACAATGATATTGTCATTTTATTTTATTATAGTTTGAAGTAGGCACGTTTCAGTTGTATATATTTTCAAAAGCCAGCGATTGGTCATGGTGATCGAGATAACCGAGTTTAAGTGGCAAATTTGGCCTCTTTTTGGGCTCGAGATAGCAGGGTCCAGTGACATAAAAGAATCGACATAGCCGAGGAGAAAATAGAAAGAAAAAGAGAGAATTCGGCGGTTCCACTTGGAAAAACTTCGACATTACAGAGTCGGTGACCAACCAAGGTCGAGATAAGTGGGCTCGACTGTGCATTATTTTTTAAAATACACTTTTAATATTATTTTTAAAAAAATTATAATTTAAGGTGGTCTGGTATTTTATTTTTTGCTCGAAAAATTAATATGTTCATCTTGTACAATTTGTAATGGTATCTAATTTTAAAAAATTAAAACCGAAGCTAGAAATATGAAATTCGTAAATTTTCACAATTGCAAAGTGTCGACAACGTGTCTCCACATTAGGACAATAAATGAATGTGTGTTTGCTAAGTTCTGCCACGCCTTTGATCTAACGTACATATGACACATGTTTGTTTGTGTGTCTCTGTGTAATAGTGTGTGTGTGTGTGTGTGTGTGTGTGTGTGTGCAAGGCGCTGTTTGTTTGTTTTTTAGCTTGAACATACTTTATTTAACCCAAGTGAACTTTCGAAAAGTGATAAGTTTGACTTTGCTTCAAATGAAGAAGCCATTGTGTTGTATTAATTAGTGTGCATAAATCATTATCAGAATGGTGGATTGACGGCGAATTGAGCCTCTTGCAATGTGCAAAATTAATGTACACCTCAAGCAGGAGTGTGGTCCCCTCGTTTGAAAAGTGTGAGACCAAACGAGAATTCATCTGCCAATTGTGTAGGTCAATTACCGTTTCTTTCAAAAGAGCTCACGTTGGTTTTTTAATTAATGTGTTCCATCCATCCATCCATCCATCCATCCATCCATCCATCCATCCATCCATCCATCCATCCATCCATCCATCCATCCATCCATCTATCCATCCATCCATCCATCCATCCATCCATCCATCCATCCATCTATCCATCCATCCATATATATTATTTATTTTTCATGTAATGCTAAAGTAACAACCAGCATAAAAGATAGTTGACATACAACTACATTTACTCCATCCGCCTATACAATCCCTAAACGCCCTACGCTTTTTCTATTTTGTTCATTGTGACAGACGTCGGTGACCCATGTGAAACAGCGCTGTCTCGTGGCGAGTATTTTAACGATGGAAACTGCTACGCACTGTACCACAGCACCAAGGTGTTCTTCGATGCTGCCAATGTAAGACTCTACTCAAATAAAAAGCAGATTGCTTAACAAAAACAATCGATTTTTTTTTGCGTGGCTAATAACCATATGAACTGCAACTTGCCTAAGACGTTGTCAATAGGCTGCGACTATTCATAACACAAAAGAAAACCGAATAACATTGGTCTAATGGGACCCGGGTGCGAATGGCGGCGCATGCGCGTCCGGGGCCATTTTGCCTAAATACTATTCGGATGTCATCTGTGGTAGTTTATTTTAGTTAAACTGAAAAAAGTAAGTTTACAAAAAAATATTCCATTCTATTAGCTTTCATTTGAAACCTCATTTTGTCTTGAAAACCGAACAATAGTATTTTAAATCGTTTTTTTTAAAATCCCAACCTCTCAAATCTGGTACCCGGGTGCGAAAAGCCACTTCGATGTCAATATTAACATAAAAAACCCGTAAATCCTTATTGCAAATGTTCATTCATTAATGTATTGTACTTTAATTCTTCCGGAAAAAAGATTTTTGTAACTGAAGTAAACTACTTCATTAGTTTAACATTTATTATTGCTAAACTATTGTAATGGTGAATTTAAAGTCACCCTGCTAAGTTTTTTGATTAACGACCTAGTCGAAAATAAAAAATAATTTTAAAAGAATATTAAAACTTGATGCGTCATTGATGAATTATTGTAAAACGCATTAAAATAATTTTTTCAGGAAACTTGCGCTGTCAAAGAGAGCAGGTTAGCTGAATTCTTTTCAATGGAAGCATATTACTACTTTAGAAACAGGATGAATTACTTAATCGGTAAGTATAATGCATAGTATTGTAAGGGGAAAATGGGAAACCAAAGGTAAACAAAAATTTATTTTTTTAAAAAGTAAATAACATAAACATTTATTAAGAAAACATCGCCATCTGCCAATCTCGGTTGTCTCCGGTAGAGCATTTTGTTTCAAAGCTCATGTCTGCGAGTCGATGACGAAGTGCTCCCTTTGACCCGAAACTTTTGTGTTTTCATTGGTGGGGTTACCCCTTACGTGATTGATGAATTGAAATCCGGTAAATCGAAAGAATCTGCGCCCAGAGATGTTTAGAGGCGTCTTGTTTTTTTTTTTTTTTGTTTTTTTTATTAGCAGGCTGTCCTTGGTTTTTAAATAGATTAATTAGATACGAACAATTTGTGTCAAAATAACAATAGATGTTGAGCTTTAATAATAATTTGACACACTACACAAGTAGACGTTTCGGCACATGCCTTCATCAGTAAGACAACAAAATACTTAAATAAATATAAATTAAATTTACGTAATATATAACAATAATAATACTAATAAAGTTCATTTCAAAAACACGCTTCATCCCCAAAGGCTCGAAGCGCGGTAAAAAGTCAACAAAAAACAAATTTATAATTTACCACATTTAAAACAAACGCAACACTACAAAAACTAACTACAAGCGTACAATGTCAAAGTCTTTCTAGCCATTTCAACCTTAAGCAACACAGCTAATATGCATTAAATGGAAAATATGGTAGACAATCATCCCAGAAGGTGTTTGCGAAATAAATGTGTCTTTAAATCGGTTTTAAAGGACTCCAGTGTCTGGATGTTTCTGAGATCAAGTGGAAGGGCGTTCCAATATATACATATATCCTACCTAAAAAAAGGAGAAAACAAAATTATTCATACATTTCTAAACGAATAAACGCGTCAGCTTTAAACAGATATAAATTTATTATTCTTTTTAAAATGAGTTTTTCAAAAAATTATCACACTCTATCAGTATTATACGCATTACAGGTCACACAAGGTAGGTAACTTATTTAATGAAAAAGTAAATCGAAATTAAATGGTTTCCCTTGAATTACTTTTTCCAAAATTGAAAAAAATAATTTATTTAAAAAAACATAATGTTTGGATAAAACGAGATGCATAGGATGAATTGAGAATGTTGAACACTCCCACGAGTTACATGCATTACATTTTTTTTCTTCTTCTCACAATACTTTAATGTCACGGAGCGGTTATACTTAAAACCCTTCCTCTAGGTACTTTTCCGACTGTAATTATTTTGTGTACCTGTATTTTTTTTTCTTTGATAAATTATTATTATTCCTCCCTTTTGCCACATGCGATTTGCGCATCGATCTCTCTTCTTGTTTTGCGCAGCGATCCTTCTTCTGACGGTGCGCACCGATCCTACTTGTAAAGATGCATTTTATCTTTGTTATATTTCTTACCTCACCCCAACCATTTCCCCCCCCCCCCTTTTAAACCGATTAGTTGAGAAATTAAAGAGAAGTTTTAACTGTTTATTCCAGAAATAAAAAAAAAAAAAAATTTAGATGTAACCTTTAAGGTATATATTTTTAAAGAGATCACATTAAGCCATAGCATATGGATACATTAAGAGTATATACGAAGATAAATAATATATACATTATTTGTACGTTCAAAAGTCTCAAATATCCTTTGAGGTCAAACTCATACGGCAGGCACCTTTTGTTTCAGTTAACCTGAAAGAATGTTTCTTTGTCAATGATTGTGAAAGTTCTCGGCTTCGAAATAAGTTCAGATTTGGTACTGTAACATGAACGATTGAGTGTTGGTGTAAGGATACAGAGGTCTAAAAATAGAATAAAGCTGAAATAGAAGAGAAGACACATTGTAAAGGATATTAAGGTGCACTTGATCGAATGTTATTAGTCTAATCGAATCGGGCGTATTGTGACAGTATTTCAATCAATCATCATTCCATAATTCATAGATGTGAAACTTATTCTATCTAGCCTGATTTCCTAATAAATAGTAGATATGTTGAAATTGGACTCCCCAAATTAGCTAATATTATAATGCCACTGATACGGTTGATGAAAACACAACAAAGCAAAAAAGACTGAATTGTGTAACAACTGTTACAAAGCGTTACAAACGATAAAGGAGCCGTTTCATAGTGAAAAATTTTAACAGCACCAGAATTTAACAAAATGTTCCCGTTAGTGACGGATGAATCACATGGACTAGGAGCATGCCTTGTGTAAATCTGAGGTGAATTATTCAACAATAGAAAATGAATGCTTGGCAGTGGGTTGGTCACTTATGAGACTGCCCAAAAAAAAAAAATGTTTTGAGCCGTGTATACAATTTTACCAACCGAACTTGAGTTACTAATGGCCTTGAACAAAAAGAAAGTAGCTAATAGCAAGATCAACAGATGGACACTTATATTGTCAGACTATCATTATGAAATAAACACTATAAAGGGTAGATACAACATTGTAAAAAAAAAATTTGATCAAGACAAATAATTAACATTAAAACATGTTAGTCAAAGATTGCAAATTGCTCACTTCACGTTTAGAATGACCGTACAAATAAACATATTCAATGGACTAATGGATTAATGGACTAAAAAGGTTATAATATATTGACAACTTGTCAATTTACAATGGTGTATTTATTTTTCATTGAATCGCACCCTGTAAATGATTTCAATACTGGAAAAGAAACTAATTCCACAAGATGTTAAATTGTTCACTGACACATTGTGTTAAATGGTTCACTGACACATTGTGTTAAATTGTTCACTGACACATTGTGTTAAATGGTTCACTGACACATTGTGTTAAATGGTTCACTGACACATTGTGTTAAATGGTTCACTGACACATTGTGTTGTGTTAATAGCCACAGTGGAAAGATGTTCTGTATAAACGCAAGTGGTGTCAAACATTTTTTATGACAAAATCATTTCATGTGGATCAATTTAAACAATGTAAACTTATATTTTTTTAAAGACACTATCAATTACACCATGCTACTATTTTATTGATGTTGTATCATGAGATTTTTTTAATAACTAACCCAAAAAAATTCAGACTTCATTTTTTTTTTCCATTTGATGCGCTTAATATGGACATTCAAAGACTCAGTGACTTCAAAGCACTTCAAGTAAATACTAAGGTCATTGCTAATTTTTATGGATTAATTGATTCTGAATCAGTGTACGTATTTTCGCATCTGATACTTAAGGCAGTGCAATTAGGATTCAAAATCAATTTTTGTCAGGTTTTCCGTGGGCTCAATACACGTCAAACGTATCTGTCATCGGATTATCTTTATCTTGTGCTGAAGACGAAATCTAGTCATAAACGTTTCACTCAACGGTCTTGTCTTTTCTTTTCAAACCTAAACACGCCTGTTCTAGAAATTATTTTCGGGTCTCATAAAAGGCGTTCGCTATTTTGCCAGTCTTGGTTTGGTCCAAATCGTGGGATATTCAAGACAGCAGAGAACTTGCTGCAATGAACATGTGCAAAGCATTTTAACACAAACAATATACACAATAGTTCTAATCAGGGTTTGAAGACCCACCAAACTCTTACACTAGTCAGCCTGTGTTTAGCTTATGAGAAACACTAATTAATTATCTTTGAATCATTTGAGTTTCAAATAGTATGTATTCTGTTCATGGTATTATTATATTCCTTTGTCGCCACCCCACCCCCCCCCCCTTAAAAATATTTTTAAAAAGACCAAAGACCAGTTCTAAAAATAGCTATAATTCAGGCAATGTAGGGTAAGTTGAATTTATGATCTTGTGCTTGAATATAAAAAAAAAAGAGGGTAGTGGATAACATGTTGAACTAGTTTAACACAATAGGGAAATGGCCAAAAATCCTAGGACGGGCCAATCAATTCTGCCATGTTTGACTAGAGTCTATCATTGAAGCGCACACAAGGGTTCATTGTATTTGGTCAACAAACGTGCATAACTCATTCTTTGTTTAGGTGCAAGCTTTAGAGCGGTGGTTCTCAACCTGCGGGTCGCGACCACTTTTGGTGTCGAGCGTCCTTTACACATGGTTCGCCTAAGACAGTCGGAAAACACGTATTTACGACGTAGCAACGAGCATAATTTTATGTTTGGGGGGTCACCACAGCATGGGGAACTGTGTTAAAGGGTCGCGGCGTTAAGAAAGAATTGTGCATGAGAAAAATAATGTCAGATTTGGTTCAAATTTTTGAACCATTATGTAAACTATCTTATAGATATTTGAAATTTAGAAAAAAACAAAATCAGTTGTTGCACTCAGCATAAATTTTAAGCACCAACAGATATTTTCCCTAAAAAAATGCATCTATATTTTAATTCCAATAAATCACCCCAAGGTTCACTTAGCGATCCAAGCATATTCCTTGGTGGAAGTGACCTACTTCACGAGGGGGTATTCACGTGGTTTTCGACGGACACCAACATTTCCATCAACGACTGGATACCAAATGAGCCCAACAATGGCAACACCGGAGAACACCATCTGAGTTGGAGAGTGGTCACTGGCGAAGAATTTCATCTAAATGACGTCAACGGTACCGACAAAAAGGGATTTGCGATTTGCCAGAAAGGTCAACATCTATACGTCATTTCCAATGAGTGAATTTATCAACAAATAAATCGTTTTGTCACAGTGCTATTTTTGTAATTTGCTTTAAATGCACTTATTTTAACAAATGATGATGGTGGTATTAATTATTAATATATTTTTGTTAATGGTGTTTCCAAAATGTATTATATTTTACAATAGTTTTTTTTTTCTTCGTCTTTGACTTAGATGTCCTTAACATAACCTACTTAATCGTGCTACCGGACAGTGATGTCTCAGTGGTGAAATCGTCAGTCATTCAAGTAACATCAGGTTCGCAGCAAAGCATGAGAACTCTTTGTAAAATTTAGGTTCATATTTTTTTTATTTATTAAATAAACTCTTGATCGTAGAAGCCTTAAATTAATTTTTTTTTAAAAGAGGATGGGGGTGGGGTTTGGAGATGTGTGCAAGATCAAGACCAGATCACTTAGCTATAAACGACGAAAAATAAAGAGTGCTTTTTTTAAGGGCAGTGGGCATATTATGGGCACATGAAGGTAACCACACATAAAGGTAATCTAAACTTTATTATATTTTTGTGAAAAAAAATATTGCAATTTATTGTCGTTAGAGTTAAATTTATTTTAATAAATTAGACAGACAAAACTAACCCCTTTTTTTTTTGTTCTATTTTATTTTCAATTTGTATGTCCGCACATTATTTTTAATTTAAGCCGTGCGGATAAAATTCAAATCTTTTTAGCCATCTCAAACCGGCGAGGAATATTAAAAATAATTTTGATTGCTTTTTTGTAATTAGTTTCTGCTTTTGAAATAGTAGTGTGATTTGTATTATTATTATTATTTTTTTTAAAATGGTTAAATAGTTCATTTAGTGTCCACTACTTACTTATACATAATTTTGTTTAATGGCTATTGTACGACAAGTATATTATAGAATTATAACGCCGAAATAGTCTGACATATCTACTTACTCGACTCCTTACGTTTTTAACTTAGGTGATTTGGAGGTCACCTACCTGCATTTCACGCAACGCCTGAACGACATGCAGGTAAATACGACCTACGATTGGGTCACCTCATACCATGACGTCATCTACACCGTCGACAGCACCATTGAGATGTCAGGCACTGGTAAGGTCGCATTCTCAAAATTGTTTAAATTTATTATAAATAAACACCCCCAAAAAAATTTTTAAAAAAAATATTTCATTCAGTGTGTCAACGTGTAGTTTTTAAACGTTTAAACATATTGACTTTTTTTATATTGAATACGATTAGGGGATATTTAACAATTTGTACAAAACGTTTTAATATTTGGTGAATCGTTGAGTTCAATACAGTAGTATCAGATTCTCAGTAAATATATATATACAATTTAAAATTACGACAACAAAAACAAATGTAACTTTTTATTGTGTAACTCATCAAATTCCACGACCCGTTACCTTTCCTGTCAACTTCTACCGGCCAGGCATCTACCGCGGGGTCGTCCAGCTGAGGGCAAACCATCACGTGACCGTTGTGCTCCATCAAACTTCCGGCAGCGAGGTTGGAACGACTCTGGTGTTTCCGGTGGACCTCGTCACGACCGGGTATTTCGTCTTAACCAACGCGTCACAGGAGTCAGGGAGTCAGGTGGGGCGCCTTCTTCGATTAAACGATAATGAACACAATAAAAATAAAAAAACAACATATCCTGTGTCATTAGTACATACTATCTCGAAAAAAAAATATTTACAAAAGAAATCACAAACTGTTATGTATTGGTGGACTAAACAGCGAATATAGGGGGAAACAAAAAGTAAATTTTTATTTCTGTAAAGGTTCAATGGTTCATCCATATTTATTTTTCAATACTGAAATTCCTTTAATCAGTTTAGCACATTTTATTGCGGAATAGTGTTTACCCCACTCAGTAAGTCTCGTTAAGTCTAAGCATTAGGAAGTCTATCTCCTAAGAAACCTGTATGGCTTTATTAGCCAGAGAAAAAAATCCGGTAAATCAATATATTTTTATTATAAAAAAAGAAATACAAGCCACTCTCAACGTGTACGCTGTTTACATCGAGTAATTTTCATCATCAGATTACAATAACCGCACTCAACAGTGATACCGACGTCACCGTCAAACTACCAAGGAAACAACTGCAACCCTTTACAATCAGCGTCGGTGGATTCACAATTCAGTACGTGGAGTTAAAATAATAAATGTATGTGAGGACGTCAGGCATTTGTGATATAGAAAGAACGGGGATGTTGGTATATTAAAGATCCAAGAAAAAACTTCATATATATTACATAAAATCTCTTGCCCTATCTATACGCATGGCCGAAAAATGCTATTTTCATATTAATGGTTTTAGAAAAAAAAACTGGAAATTCTTAAGATAATAAAATTAAACACATTTTTTTTTTATAATTCACCTTTCATAACGAGAAAGCTTCTCATAATACAATACTTAGGGGTAAAAATTGTATCTCTCTATTATAGACACGCTGACAAGGCAACGATCCATCTCGATCAGCTGGACACCGCACACTTGCAATCGTCAGAGGACTTCAGTGGATCGTTTGTCTATGCCACTAAGCCTGTCGTTGTGTACAGTGGATCTAAAAATGTGCAGGTGTTTTAAAAAAAAAGAAAAATAATTACTGATGCTCTCCTATTTGAGACAACATAACCGAGCTAACCTTTCAGTGGCTCAGTGTTCTATAAACAATTAATATATGGTTATATGTGGTGAGAGGGAAACTTAATTCACGTATATTTTCATCTATTGAAAGTATGAATGTTATGTGGTGTTGCATAAGCGATCATATCGGCAAATAGGAATGTGATGTAGAGTTGCATTAGCGATCATAACGGAAAATAGGAATGTTATGTAAATTTGCATAAGCGATTATAATGGCAACTATGAATGTTATGTAGAGTTGCATAAGTAATCGTAGCAGCAAATAGGAATGTTAAGTAGAGTTGCATAAGAGATCATAACGAAAAAAAATGATTAAGGTACCATGTAAATTATGTTTCAGAGAGTGTCATTTCATGTCATGCACGCTCATAGTATGTTATGTACAGATGCATGCGCTGCAGTGCTCATTGTGCAGATACTACACCCAAAAGTAGGTGTCACTACAGCATGCGCGAAAGGTGACAGCCTTGAAAATAAAAGACCAACACTATTGCCTTGCCTCATCCGTGAAATGTGTTCCCCGTGAAATAGATCAGCATAAACGCCAGTAGCGTTAATCTGAAGCTCTAACGTTTTGTTATTGATTTAAGCATGTGGGCATTGGTATGTATGCTCTGACGGTTACACTTTTGGTGGTAGAAAATAATTTCATGTTTTCTCCAGACGGCCGAGAACACTTGGGACCACACGCTTGACATGTCCGTACCAGTGGACAGCCTTTCCACAGAGTACGTCACATTTCCATCGTCCAGCTCCGCGTCGGACACATTTCGTCTGCTCGCCCTGTACGACGACACGGAGATCGCGGTACGTTTCAAATAACGAAAAATAATGTTAGAATACTATTTGAAACAAAAGCCAAAAAATTTTGGTGCCCTGTAGTAATACATCTATGCTGTTTTAATGGTCACACGTTTTTTTAAAAATTATTGTTATGTAGCAAACTTTTTTAGCAGGACGGGTTGACCGTGTATCAAAGTCCCACAGTAAATGCATTTACAGAACGGGCAGTATGATAAGGTCTATGTTGGGAAGGGTATTCTACGACACGATTTCGTCCTTCCAATCACCACTGGATGACGACCAGCAGTAACGGCACCGGGTAGAATGCTAGCGTTCTGTATTTCCAAATGTACCAGTATAGCAGTTCTTAAAGTAAAAAAAAAAAGGTGACAACCATGGCGCTACAACACTGTTGTGATTTAATCTATGTATTGCCACTACACGTCGACTCTCAGCATAATGACGGCAACTGAGTTACGAGAACTTGCACATTTCACACTACATTGAGCGCTATTTGCTTCTTCACGTGTATCCCACAGCATTTATTCGCCTCTCCTATTGATTGTCCTTTATACTTTGACCAGTACATAACGAGCTCTAAGTAAATTATGTAACTCAATCAACTTAACAAATTTCATGCAAATTTCATGCACAACCAGATCAATCACAAAACTAGCCCGGAATAAACAATTCACACCCAACTCATCACATTCCATCCACATCACAACCAATCACATAACTAAGCCTAAATGAACAGTTCACAACTCATTACATTCTACCACCAACTCCACCACGCTCATAAAACCAGTTAAAAACCAGATAAACATACTTAAAATAATTTCCTTTTAATTTTTTTAAAATTATTTAACGGTGGTTTGAGATCTTTTAGACTAGGGTGTCTCGTAATAGTGTTACCCACAAACAGCAAAATAGATTTTTGTTGTTGTTAAATTACGAAAACATCGTTAATCTTCTCAGGTACATGGAGGAGCTCTTTTCAATGTGAGCATCAGTAAAGCAGGGTACCACGAGGAGATATCCCCACCGCCGGGTTCGTTCTACTACATGAAAAGTGACCCCTACCACCCGTTCTACGTCATCAAAATATCCTCCAGCCCAAACGGAGCGTGCATGACGTCACTCTTACCTTGGTCTTTGTGGCGCAGCCAGTATGACGTAAACACCCGTTTCCATGAGACGCTTTATCTCGCCATGGATTTCCGATACGTCGAAGAGTTTACACTCCAAAACGCTGCTGCGTGCATTGATATAGCAGGTGATTTATAGCTAAAATGGTTAAGCCAGAGTTTCCCAAACTCTGTGCGGCAACCCCATTTGGAAGCCGCGGCTTTCGGACAAGGGTGGTGAGAAATGAAACAAAAAAAATTGTTTAAGGAAATCTTAGAAAACCAGGATACAGCATAGACACCGTTACATACATTTGTTAATCTATGGTTAAGGTTAAGCGTGATGAATATAGGTTATTCGAATGGCCTTTGACCGAATGCTAAGAAAAAAGTACAACGTGATCACATTTATGGGGAAAAACCTAAATATCAGCTGTTTTTAGTGCATTGTTAATATTGTGAACTAAATTAAAATTAAGTAGTTTGAGATGCAAACGCAAATGACGTCATACGGTGAATTGCTCATATAAGCCAGAGCTCTAAGTTTCTTTGATTTAATAACGGCACGTCAGAAAAGTGATAATGTTTATTGCCCTTCTGAAAAGTGAAATTAATAAATACAATTGATTGCTTTTTAAAATGTCATTTGTTAACGAATTTAGCTTTGTATTTTTAACATTTAATAACTTTTAATTTTATTTATTCCAAAAATATACTTTTATGAAATTTATAAAGTAATAAAAACTTAACCTTGAAATATAATTTTTATAAGAAAATGCAACTCATTAGCCAATCAGCATTCACTAATGCACTTATAAGAACAAAGCATATGAAGTGCACAAAATGTGTTTTTGCGTATATAATGGGGTTACAATCCCCTAGATGATTTTATTAATTTTTTTTTAAAAACTCCGTAGCCTTGGTTTGGGGGGGGGGGGGGGTAGGTATTATACGAATTAATAGTATATATTATTCAAGTCTTTTCAAGGATGTATCCCCAGGTTTGATTTATATAAATGTAACAGTCTAAAAAATAACGTAAGAAAAAATATTTGTTCACCATAGTGATAGGAAAAAAAGTTGTTTTTTTATTTGGTTTGCATTTTATAATTTTTTTTAAAACTAGTTTTCTGTCCACACATTCATAATCGAGTTATCACCTTAAACCAACATTGCTCCATTAGGGACGACGTATTCCGGCTGCACCATGACTCTGTCCCCCGGGTACCATCATATAGGATTAAATGCAGCAGGGTTTACATTCGCGGCCTATGGTTCTCAATCACTTGACAGTAGCTACTGTCACGTCCTAGGGACGTCTGATGGCAAGGAAAGAGGTGACGTCGTCGAGAATAATAGCCAGGTTGGGTTTTCTTATATGACAGTTTTTGCCCTATGACTGAAACTTGGGCTTGTTTTATTGAAATTTTACATTCAATTAATGGGATTTTCGTGAATATGTCATATCTTAGTTTTGAAAAAAAAAAGTATTTAAAAATTCAAATCATTAAAATCTTGAAAACTGCTTCCTCATCAATTTTAGACAAAGTTACGAAACAAAATATTTCTTAATAAAACATATATCATTGTAGTGAATAGCGACACTATTGATTTATTTCAAATAAGTGAACTTTGACTTTTCTTGCCATTCGTCCTTTCGCTCTTTCCAGGTGGCCTTCCAAGCTCTTCAGTACAGTACTTTAAAGGGAGATGCGCCTTTCCCTCCACCGAACCTTCCACAAACCACAACGTTCCTGGCCACGACAACCCCTGAGTCTGGAACGACAACACCAGCTTATCAAGCCGACCTATCCGCAAAAGGGGAACATGACATCCCGACAACGGAACAACATCACATGTCGGCGGCAGCGCCCGCTGAGCTGTCCACGACGGCACGGCAAGCCCCACAAACCCAATCTGAAACCACATCCCGACAGACCCCGACGGCATCATCGGTGGACACCGTTTCAGCGACCGCGCCAGCGGCATCCTTTTCTAATGCCAACCTCTCGGCCTGCACAGCTTTATGTATGCCACAGCTGAATGTGTCAGCTCAACAGTTGACCGCCATCGCTCAAAAAATACACTGGGCCTTGTTTGTGAATCCTCGAGACACGTTCCTCTTCAAACAAAAAAAGAAATGCACCTGGGACGACCGGCCATCTTGTCACGCCATCGGTGTTTCCGGTGTCGTCATGATGATTTGCTGGATTCTGTTTCTCACCTCGCCGGATATGTTTCGCCTTTTACGATTTTTATTCCTGTTTAAGAAGAACACGACAAGGGAGAACATAAGATAAACTGATGCATGTTTTTTTTAAAATTATTCTATTGCTTCATAATTATACATATATATATACAAATCATTTACTTAGAACGATTTCGTTATTATTTTCGACAGATAACACATAATTTTAATGAGTGATAAAATAAGTATCTTTTAAACTGTTACAGCAGAAAACGAGAAATACAAATCATTCAAAACTTATATACCATGTTATGCAGCTGAGGAACAATTTAAAACATATTTTGAAACTTTTTTAGGGGTTTAACCCAAATTTTGTGTGTTTTTTTTTAAAATAAAATTTATTTTAAATCTTTGTGTATTTATTTTGATTCCTGTATATTCAAATTGTAGTGCATCACTGTACAATATCGCCGACCATATTTGAATTATTTGTTTTAATTTGAACAGTAAAACGTTTTAGTCTAATGAAATAATTTTTTGAATTAAAATTTAAAAAAAAAACAGATATCATAAATAACCATCTGAAAAAGACTATCCTAAACATTACCATCATAAAATGACCCTTCAAACAAGAATATCATATTATACATTATTTTTGAAACATGAAAATCATATTATACATTACCCTTGAAACAAGAAGATCATTTTGTACATTACCTGTGCAACAAGAAAATCATATCATGCATTACCCTTGAAACAAGAAGATAATATCATACATTACCCTTGAAACAAGAAGGTCATATCGTGTATTACCTTTGAAAAAGAAGATCATATCATACATTACTTTGAAACAAGAAGATCATGTCGTCTATTACCTTTGAAACAAGAAGATCATATCATACATTACCCTTTAAATAAGAAGATCGTATGATGCATTACCCTTAAAACAAGAAGTAAAATGTAAAAATTGGTCCCCACTGACAAATATACAGCCCACATTTGAAAAAAAAAATTAACAACATTTACCTAAAATAACTCTGTGATATTTTTATTTTTTAATATACTAGATCCTTTATCAGTGTTGTGTCAAGACGTCCCTTATATCAACAGCTGTGCCTAATGACATTCGCCAGCCTGCTCTTTATAATGGATCTCAAGAGCAAACTATTCGATTTTTTCCCCCAAGAGGTCGATTATCTATACATTTTGAGGTCCCTTGGCTATAACCAGCTATAACCAGCTATAACCAGCTATAACCAGCTATAACCAGCTATAACCAGCTATAACCAGCTATAACCAGCTATAACCAGCTATAACCAGCTATAACCAGCTATAACCAGCAATAACCAGAAAAAATGTCCATACGTAAAGGCAACTCTTTAGTGAGGTGATCTACAAAATAAAATTTAGTTGGAAAATATATACAGTATACTGTCCACTTGCTTTATATTTCTCCTCCATAAATACACGTGCAACGGTGTGTGTAGTAACAGAACTCGGGGATAACACCGTTCGTCAGGAATGAGAACCCTTGATCTAAAAAAATTGCCTGCAGAATAATTGTTTTCCTTTCGCCAAGTGATTTACCTCCCTTTAATTGACCAACTGTTCAGTTTGTTTGTTCGAGCGGGTCCCCTGAAGATTTCAAATTAAATAAACGCAAAAACCCTCTGTGAATCAATTATTCGCAAACACATTTAAAAAAAAAATAATAATTGAAAAATACAAGGGGCTACACACAGTTTAGCGGTGCTAGCCGAGCACTGTCTTCTCGCATGAATACACGCAGTGGTGTCTTTTTTTTTTTTTTTTTTTTTTTTTATTCAGGCCGTGTATAATTTAACAAGGAAAGCTCTCCAATTTTTGTTTTTTTTTTTTTTTTTTTTTTTTTTTTTTTTTTTTTTTTTTTTTTTTTTTCATTCAGGCCGTGTATAAGTTAACAAGGAAAGCTCTCCAATATGTATAAATATAATGAATTAGTATTCTTCACGGTGTCAAATTTTAACATTAATTCGTTTTTTAGTTATAAATATATATATATATATATTTTGTTTTGTTTTTGTTTTGGAGTGATAGGGTTCTTCTTTTTGTTCTAAATTTTAAGGCTATGACAGTAGACAACAAACACTCAGGATATTTATTATTTTGTTTTTCGTTGTTTTTGCATTGTTTTATTTTTAAAAAAAAACAACAACAATTTATTATTGATGTATTTCTGGACTCTGTGAATTGGATAAGAATGTGTTGAAATTTTTTTTTTAAACGTTCTGCCACTTAAGAAAGAGTGCAGACGTTTATTTCAAATCAGTGTTTCTAGACTAATGTTTATTTATTGTGGAAAAACATACGTTTTTTTTTTTTAATTAAAAAATGTATTAATACAATTGACGTAATTAATTTTTTGCTGATTTGAGGCAAAGAATCTTTGCGTTTGAGCCGTTGCTTTGTTCATGATTGTAGTGTGTGGAAGCAATCAAGGGGGCGTAAACAGGGGCTAACGGTTTTCATTGTGACGAGCTTTATCTCCCATGTCAACTAAGGTTGTAAAAATAATTTCGTGTCTTTACATGCCGTTGGACATCTGAAAGGAATTTCGTTCTTTCCGCGGACGAGATTATAAGAGATTGTATGAAAATATATTCCAAACCGAGATAATGCATACATGTTTGTAAAACTGGCGGGTACCGCTCGACCATGGCAAAATTATCCACAAAAAAACTGCTTTACTTCTTGTGTCTGACGTTTACTCTCGCTGGTCTCGTCAACATCCTGGCGATCTTTCAAGTCCGGGCCGAGAAGCGACCTTCATGTCCCAATGAGAGAAAATCTAGAGGGAGACAACTTGATTCAGTGCATCGAGAAAACGAATCAATTGCTCTGGGGTTCAAGCCCTTGAATTTGGAATATGAAAATGAGGAGTCTAAACCCGATGAATGGAACAACACCGGAGCTATTGGTTGGTAAAAATGTTTTGTAATGGGGTAGTAAAAATGTTTTGACATGAGCTAGTAAAAATGTTTTGATATGGGGTAGTAAAAATGTTTTGACATGAGCTAGTAAAAATGTTTTGATATGGGGTAGTAAAAATGTTTTGAAATGAGCTAGTAAAAATGTTTTGATATGGGGTAGTAAAAATGTTTTGAAATGAGCTAGTAAAAATGTTTTGATATGGGGTAGTAAAAATGTTTTGAAATGAGCTAGTAAAAATGTTTTGACACGAGCTAGTAAAGATGTTTTGACACGAGCTAGTCAAGTTTTTTAGATTTTGGTTAGTAAAATGTGCTTAAATGGTTTAGTAAAAATGGTTTGATATTTAAAAAAAAAAAAAAAAAATAAAACCAACACTTGTTATAAATTCTTGACGGAATGAAACGAGGACCACTGGTTGTGAAATCAGCTTTGTGAAAATAATCTCTGAACATTAAGTATTTTTTTTTTATTTTAAAAGACAGACAACTCTTAAATTTGCAAATCAGTGAGTTGTCTCTTCTTCTTTTTTCTCCATAATTATTTATTGAATTTTAAAAAAAAATGTTTCTGTATAACGTCTGAGTTTTGGCTATTTATGATCGTGTGAATTCATTTCTACGGCTCCTTACTCCAGGAGGCCTCCATCTCCTTTAAAGATTTTAAAAGAATGAGAAAATTGGAACTTAACTTGGTACTGATACGATGTTCGTGTATCAAGCATCTCCCTAACCACTGTTGACCCATAACGTACACAATTTGGTAGTTTTAAGATTTAGAGACTGATGAAATGAAGCGATCTCAAACACTTAGTGTGTTCACCATTTGAGATAGTTTGTGATTGTGACAAGCAAAAATATTAAACATAATTGACTATTATTGTGAATTAATTAATATATCCACAGACTAGTTGTTAGATAAACCTTTGTGTTAAAATATATATAAATGTTAACAATATTAAAATGTCTAGTTTGACGGTTCGTATTTTAATTTGCATTTTAAAATACACCAATTTCTATTCAAAAAAAAAAAAAAAAAAAAAAAAAAAAAAAAAAAAAAAAAAAAAAAAAAAAAAAAANCACAGACTAGTTGTTAGATAAAACTTTGTGTTAAAATATATATAAATGTTAACAATATTAAAATGTCTAGTTTGACGGTTCGTATTTTAATTTGCATTTTAAAAAACACCAATTTCTATTAAAAAAAAAAAAAAAAAGAAAAAAAGAACAATAATAAAAATAATAAAAAAGAAGATGATGGTCCAGTGCAATTTCTTTTCAGAATTTCTGAAAACTTACAACAAAGAGTTGAATAAAAATGTACAGCCAATCTCAGCTGACCCATACAACGTATCGACAATCACAGAATGGTGGCAGGCGGCTGCAATGATTCATTGGTAAGATGTAATCACCAGTCATGCACTTTTTAAACATTAAGATGAGGTGAGCCAGTAAAATAATGTAAGACAATCGTACATTTATTAGAGTACAATTTTATGAAAATATCTAACTTGTAATGTATTATTTCAAACAAAAGTAAAATTTGTATTATCCTGATGCTATTTTAACAATAGTTTTGCGATTAATATATTATATAACATAGCCTACTAATATATAGTGAAAATATATCCCTTTAATATGTAGTGCAAAATTCATCCCCAAATATATAGTATATAATGTACTCCAATAATATATAGCTTAGAATGTAGCCCACTAATATATTATATAGACTGTACCCAAATAATATATAGTATAGAATGTACCCCACTAAAATAGTATAGACTGTGCCCCAATAATATATAGTATAGACTGTAACCAACTAATATATAGTACATAATGTACACCACTAATATATAGTGTGAATGTAACACACTTTTATAAGTAAGGAATGTACCAATACTAATATATAGTACAGCTAGTACCCAACTAGTACATGTTAGAGAATGTACCCCGATACTATACAAGCTACATCGACTTTTCACAATGATGTCGTTCTCACCAAAATATTTTCAAACTGTTTTAAGAAAAGCTTCTTTTTTTTTCATTTTAAACTGTACTATACCTCATATGATTTCAGTAACTCATATGATTTCAGTACCTCATATGATTTCAGTACCTCATATGATTTCAGTACCTCATATGATTTCAGTACCTCATATGATTTCAGTACCTCATGTGATTTCAGTAACTCATATGATTTCAGTATCGCATATGAATTAGGTAACTCATATGATTTCAGTAACTCACATGATTTCAGTAACTCATATGATTTCAGTCCCTCATATTATTTAAGCTCCTTATATGAATTCAGTAACTCATGATATCAGTACCATATTTGATTTCAGTGCCTCATGTGATTTCAAAACCTCATATTATTTCAAAACCTCAAATGATTTCAATACATCATATGATTTCGATAACTTCCGAAAGTTTGATTTAACAAAAGCAATAACCCACTCCGCTTAATCCTATTGTAAATCACTGAGATTGTGTCTTAAAATAAAACAGGCGTCATTACATATTGATCAATAACGTTGACAAAACTGAGGGCACGCCGTATTGGAAATTAATCTGATAATATTGAAAAGATTATCTATCATTGATTAATTTTTTAATTCTTTTTTTCTGCTCAAAATTTACACGATTTTTTTAAAATTAAAAAAAAAAAAAAAAAAAATAGAGTAACACGAAAAAACAACTATTGATTTAAACAAACATCTTTCCTCCCCCCCCCCCCCCCCGTACAGGTATTTTAACTCATCTTTGAGGTACACGTGCCCGGAGCCGCTGAAAAAATTCGCGGATTATTTGCTGTGCCAGGTGGCGGAGCGCACCGTGAGGCAATCCTGCGTCGTCTACTCTTTTGGGTGAGTAAGTGTCAGGCTTGCTTTAAGCCCGGTCTTAGCTTTCTTCTTATAACATGTATCAATTGCAGTTGTTGTTTTTTTTAGTTGTTGTAGTCCCTTTTTTAAAAAAATTGAACGTATTGTCTTCTAACATTCAGCAAAGGGTCACCCTGCACATTCGTTAAATCCTACTGATTTCAAATGATATTTCCCCCAGTAAACCCGCGAAAATAGTAAAAATTTAAATAAGAAAATTCTGAAAAGCAAATTAAATTTATTGTCTCGGGCTTTCTGCATCCTCTGGAGCTGTCTTTTGATCCCCGCAAGGGGCAAAGATTTTTTTTTTTTTTGTAAGAACCCTTCATAAACATAGTATTATAATTGACGATCATCCTGTTAAAGACAGTGCCTGAGGTAAATGATGGCGTCGACACATTTTCTGATGAACCCAAGAGTTGATGTGTTAACCGAACCGCATTTATCTACCAAAGAACATTGTCACTTGATGAAAAAAATTGGAAGGCATTTACGTCGTGGTCCATTGAGTTTTGCTACCAAGTACACATCAAAGCATTGACGTTTGCATATCTTTCCAGGGTGAAAAGGGATTTCTGGTTTGATGACGCCGGTGGCTGGACTGGATGCGAGGTCTGGTCATTTGACCCCGGGTCAGTATTGATTTTTTCATCATTCACTAATTTTGGGGGTAAGGCGGTGGGCTCAGAAAAGTAATGCACAAAAAAAAAAAAAAACAAAAGTAAACTTATTTGGGGGAGCACAAAACATAAACAATTTTTGGGGAACCCAAAATATTAAACTTATTTGGGGGAGCACAAAACAGTAAACTTAATTTGGGGAGTAAAAAACATCTAACTTATTTGGGAGAGCAAAAAAGTTCAAACCTATTTGGGGAGCATGCCTTTACGGTAAAAAAAAAAATATGTGCATTAATTTATATTTACTTTTAAAAAGTTTTAGAATGTAAGTTGTCTTTTGAATATGTTTTCCTTATATATTTTAAAATGATATTTAATGATTTGTTTTCAAAAAAATATTACCAAATTAAAAATAATCCCAGTTTGTTACATAAACACCATTAAGTATGATATATTTTATGGTACTCAGACTGAATCTCACCGACCATCTCAGGGGGAAACGTGTTCATTTTTACAACCTGGGACTTAGCACCACAAACACGGATATATTCCTGCGCACAAATCAAGCTGCGAAGAAATGGAAGATGAGGACGTTCAGGGCTATCCAACAAATGATTGGCCACAAGAACGTAAGTCAATGATCCAACAATTGATTGGCTATTATAATGTATGGTGAATGATCCAACAATTGATTGGACTTAATAATGTATGGTGAATGATCCAACAATTGGTTGGACTTTATAATGTATGGTCAATATCCAACAATTGATTGGCCATTAGAAAGTAGGTCAATGATCAAACAATTGATTCGCCATTAGAAAGTAGGTCAATGATCAAACAATTGATTCGCCATTAGAAAGTAAGTCAATGATCAAACAATTGATTAGCTATTAGAAAGTAGATCAATGATCCAAGAAATGATTGGCCATAAGAACGTAAGTCCATGATCCAACACATGATTGGCCATTAGAAAGTAAGTCAATGATCCAACAAATGATTGGCCATTAGAAAGCAGATTAATTATCAAACAATTGATTGGCCATAAGAACGTAGGTCAATGATCCACAGCAGACGATTTTAATGTTCTTAAAAATAACATGTCCACTTAATTTGATATTACAAACATTTCTTTAACAGTAATGTAATTATCAAAAAAAAGTTTTACTTATGTAGATAACCTGCTATGCTACTACAACAGTTTCATTAAAAGTATTGTAATAATTTAATTAACTCCTTACTAATGTAATTAAATAATGAATGCTTCTACAACAATTAAATTGAAAGAACTGCAATAATCCAAAAACGTCTTACTTATGTAGTTAACATAAGATGCTAAGACAGCGGTTCTCAACCTGTGGGTCGCGACCCCCAAAGGGTTCGCGCGACTCTTTTCCAGGGGTCGCTTGAGACCATCTGAAAACACACATCCTTACAGCCACGAAAATAATTGTGTGGCTGGGGGTCGCCACGACACGAGGAACTGTATTAAAGGGTCGCGGCACTAGGAAGGTTGAGAACCACTGTGCTAAGACAACACTTTGGTTGAAAGTAATGTAATAATAGAGTAACTTCTTGTAGACGTATTTAACATATGATGATACTACAACAATATCATTTAATAGTAATGTATTTATGAACAAAATCATACCAATGTAGTTAACTTAAGATTCTAATTACACCATTTTCATTAAAGAAAATGTAATAGTAAAATATTCTGTTACTAATGTGTTTCACTAAAAACTTTATTTTTTTTTCAATAAAAACTTGTGACCGTTGAACTCATCTGGAGACTCTTTTATTGTCCAGCAGCCTTTGGACATCGTGAAACTGAACATTGGCGGGGAAGAGTGGAGTGTGCTGGACTACTTGATGGAGAACGACCTGTTGAAAAGCATGCGATATTTGATGGTGCACTTCCATCTGTCGCCTTCATGGCCGGCGAAGGAAAACTACGTCAACAGTTTTAAGGTAAATTGAGCCGTTTCCTTTTAAAGGACTTAATTTAAATCAATGAAGAGTAACATATTAGGTTTTTACGCCTCATTTATATCATTGACGTGTACAGACCAATTTAAAAAAAAAATTAAAAAATGATGGAAAAACATGCTTTATGGAGTGAAGGTATATGTTAGATCACGAACTGTGACATACATCTTATATTTTGATTACATAAGGTGAGCAGCTCAGATTAGCGGCACGTCTTGTACAGCTTACATTGTGTGTTCCGCGGGTGAATATTCGTTTTTTTTTATCGGCGTAAATCAGAAACTGTTAGTACATCAGATTAGCTTAATTTATGATTACAAGAATGCAGCTTAGATTATGATTGCAATAATGCCGCTTAGATTATGATTACAAGAATACAGCGTAGCTTATGATTACAAAAGTAAGGCCTAGAAGGTGATTAGAAGAATACAGCGTTCATTATAATTACACGAATACAGCTTAGATTATGATCACAAGATACAGCTTAAATTATAATTACAAGAGTACGGCTTAGATTATCAATTCGAACCCAAAAAAATAAATAAATAAACATGAGCTTCAATTGTGCGTAGAGAAGCAGGAATATTACAGCTTACATTTTGAGGGGGAAACAAAATTAATTCAGAATTACTTTGAACAGCTTACCCAAAATGTTAAGACATGGGTCTTTGTTTGCGAACAATGCTGATGAGGGGACGCATAAAACAAAATCTGTTGTAGAAAAGTCATAGTTAATGCTTACATTAACAATGACACGCGAACTTGTTGCTGGTTCGCAAACGTTCCTTTATAAAATAGAAGAACAAGGTATGTGGAAGCTTGAATCAAAAGATATGTCAGTAAGATGCGAACGTTTCGGCTAAGTGCCTTCCTCAGAAAACGGGACAATGAAAATAACACCAAAAAAAAAAAGACAACAACAGAGCACAGTTAAAAACTTAAGTGATCACCAATGTTGTTGCCAATCTCCTGCAACAGCAATGGCGATCTGTAAAATTTACGATTGTCCCGTCTTGTGATGAAAGTTTCCACATACCTTGTTCTACTTTTTTTAATTCACACAGCTTGAATGCCGCACTTTATTTTTATCCTTCAGATTCTTTATATTTATCTCACACAATAAATTTCTCAACCTTCTTCATTTTCTTTTTATTTTTTTAAAGTCGCACCACTGCGTTGTTCAACTTTAAAAAAACAAACAAACTACGTTTCATCAAGAATGCATAATTAATGTAGTTTTGAATACACATACATCTATAAATATATGCATTTTTAATCACACATTTACAGAGATTTCTGAAACTTTTGATGGCGTGAAACATTTTTTAATTAAATTTAAAAAAACGAAATTGTTTTCCTAAACACATTTAGGTACAACATATTTAGTTTAAGCTATGTTTCTGTTTCCATCTCTAGACTGTGACAAGGTTGCGCCAACTTGGCTTCAGAGAATACCACAGCAGAGTGGACTCAGTTATATTGGACGCCAAGAATTTTACTCTTCGAGCGACCGTTTTATATCTTAATGCGAAGTTCAATTGGTTTTTTTGACATTTTTAAGATGACATTCTTCCAATTATTCGTTTTTGGACATTTTTTTATACCTCTTTTTTTTTTATAAAATTTATCAACAAAATGTACTTCACAGCTATAATATAGTGAATCCCGCGGCTTTCATTTCAACAAGAATATATTTAAAAAAAAATAAATTTAAAAGCTTCCACACAGACTATATCAGCAGCGTTGTGGTCAAGTGTATGGATACCAGGACAAGGCAAATCTATTCATGGGCTGGCTTTGAATCCATGTTACAGTATGAAACAGTATGTGTGAACATGTGATGGTTTCTTGTTGACGTGAATGAATTCTGTTTCTTTTGTTTCGGATATGTTTTGGCTTTCACGATTTTTATTCGTGCTTAAAAAAAGATCACGACAAGGGAGACCATAAGATAAACTGGTGCATCTGTTTTTTTAAATATATATAATAATTATATATATATATAAATAAATATATACAAATTATTGACATAGACCAATTTCGTTATTATTTTTGAGAGATAACGGACCAACATTTTAATGAGTGATAAATAATTATCTTTTAAACGGTTACAACAGAAAACTGAAAATACAAATCAAATTAAAAACTTAAATATCATGTTCTGCAGTTGAGGAACTTCAAAATGTTTTACAAATTTTTTTACTGGTTTAACCCAATTTGTTTTTTTTTTGTTTCTTTTTAAAGAAAATTTATTTTAAATGTTTGTGTATTCATTTCGATTTCTTTATATTCATATTGCCGTGCATCACTGTACAATATCGCCAACCAATTTTGAATTGTTTCTTTTAATGTGAAGTGTAACACTTTTTGGTCTAATAAAACTGCACACATTGAAATTGGATAACACAGACGGCATACAACAGCGTCTGGGAAAGGACTATCCTAAACATTATAATCGAAACAAGGTGATCATATCATAAAATTATCCTTGAGAAAAGGAGACGTGTCATACATTACCCTTGAAAAAAGAAGATCATATTACACATTACCTTTGAAACAAGAAATTCATATTATACATTACCCTTGAAACAAGAAGATCATATTGTACATTAACTTGATACAAGAATATCATTTCATGCATGACCCTTGAAACAAGAAGCTCATGTCATGCATTGCCCTTGAAACAAGAAGGTCGTGTGATGCATTACTTTAAAAAAAGAAGTAAAATTTAAAATTATCAGACCTCACTGGAAATATACAGCACACATTTTAAAAAAAAATAACACAAATTTTCCTAAAATAACTCTGTAATATTTTTATTTTTATATATACGCTTTGTGTCAAGACGTCCCGTATATCAACAGCTGTGCCTAATTACAGTCGACAGCCTGCTCTTTATATTGGATCTCAAAAGCAAATCATTCGAGTTTTTTTTGGCCCCAAGGAGTCGATTATCTACACATTTTGATGTGGTTTGCCTTTAACCAGCTATAACCAAAAAAAAAAAGGTCGATTATGTAAGGGTAACTCTTTAGTAAGGTGATCTACACAGAAACAAAAATCTCGCTGGTTTAACATATACAGGAAACTGTCCACTTGCTTTATATTTCTCCACCATAAATAAACGTGTAACTGTGTGTTTTAGTAACCGTACTCGGGAATAGCACTGTTCATCAGAAATGAGAACCCTTGATCTAAATTCTGCCCGCACAATCATTGTTTCCCCCCCCCCCTCACCTGGGGATTGACCTCCCTTTAATTGACCAACTCTTCAGTTTGCTCGTTCGCGCGGGATTCCTTGCAGTTTTCAAATTAACTAAACGTGAAGCAATTCTTTGCAAACGCGTTTAAAAAAAAAAAGAAAAAGAAAAAGTATGTACAACCTGCAAGTGTTGCACACAGTTTAGCGCCAAGCGCCACGCATTGTTTTTTCAAGTAGGCTTGATTACACGCAATAGGGGGGGGGGGGGGGTGTTTTTTTTTTTTTGATTCCTTGCAGTTTTCAAATTAACTAAACGTGAAGCAATTCTTTGCAAACGCGTTTAAAAAAAAAAGAAAAAGAAAAAGTATGTACAACCTGCAAGTGTTGCACACAGTTTAGCGCCAAGCGCCACGCATTGTTTTTTCAAGTAGGCTTGATTACACGCAATAGTGGGGGGGGGGGGTGTTTTTTTTTGTTTTCAGGCTGTGTTTAAGTACACGGGATAGCTCTCCACTACGTGTAAATGTAATGAATAGATATTCTTCACGGTGTCCAATTGTGACATTAATTTGTTTTTAATTCGTAAACATGTCGTCTTTGGAGTGATGCCGTTACTTGGTTTTGTTCAAAGTTTTGTGGCTATGGAAAGAGAGAAAAAAAAACTTTGAAAAATGTATTGGTTGTTCTTTTTCTTTTTTTTTTTTTCTTAAAAAAAAAAATATTTATTTTTTATTTATTTTTTTTATTTGTAAATTTTATAAGAAAAAAAAACTTTGAAAAATGTATTTGTTGTTTTTTTTCTTTTTTTTTTTTTCTTAAAAAAAAAAATATTTATTATTGATCTATTTCTTGAATCTGTAAATTTTATAAGAAAATGAAAAGAATGCTTGAAATGATATATAACAAAAGAACTAGTGCGAACATTTGTTACAATTCAGTGTTACTAGGCTAAAGTGTTTTAAAAGGTTTTTTTTATTTATTTTTTTTTAAGTATGAAATCTAATGAATGCAATTGACGTATTTCATTTTACTGATTTAAGTTAAAGAAGGTTTAAGTTAGAGCTGCTACTTAGTACGTGATTGTATTGTGTGGAAACCATAACGGGGGAATGGGTGTAAACAGCTGCTACACTGTACATGATTGTAGTGTGTGGAAACAATCAAGGGGGTATAAACAGGCGCTAACGGTTTTCATTGTGACGGGATTGTCTCCCATGTCAACTGTGTTTATTAAATAATTTCGAGTCTTAACAAGTAATCGGCCATCTTTAGGATTTTTCGGTTTTTTAATAAGAGGAGATTATAAGAGATTATTTTGAAAAATATATTTGAAAACTTAGACAATGCATACATCTTTGTGAAACTGGCGGGTACGGCCCGAGTATGGGGAAATCCTCAGACACAAAACTGCTTTACTTATTATACCTGACGTTTACTCTCGCTGGTCTGGTCAACATCCTGGTCATCTTTCAAGTTCTGTTCGAGAAGCGACCTTCGTGTCCCGATGAGAGGAAATCTAAAGGGAGACAACTTGATTCGGCACATCGAGAAAACGAATTCGTTGCTCTGGGGTTCAAGCCCTTGAATTTGGAATATAAAAAGGACGAGTCTAAACACGATGAATGGAACAACACCGGAGCTATTGGTTAGTACAAATGTTTTGATATGGGATAATAAAAATGTTTTGATATTGAATAGTAAAATGTGTTTAAATGTATTAGTAAAAAATGGTTTAATATTTAAAAAGACAAACAGTTTCATAAATTCTGACAGTAATGAAACGAGTACCACTGTTTGTAAAATCACGCTTTGTGAAATTGATCTTTGAATACAATAAAGAATTATTTTTTTTGAAAGACAGACAACTCTTACTTTTGTAAATGAGTGAGTTGTGTCTTCTTTTTTTTTCCAGAATTATTTCTTTAATTTAATATATATATATATATATATGTATAACGTCTGAGTAATGGATATTTTTGATCGTGTGAATTCATTTCAACTACTCCTTACTCCAGGAGACCTGCATCTCCTTTAAAGAGTTGTTAAGAGAATTCTGGAATTATATTTAAATGTAAAGAATCGAAAAAAAACATTAACATTGGAGGGTTCCAGTGCTTAAGTGTAATTCTTATGAAAATTATAGTCAGAGCAATACATATGAGAGGTGGAATGAAAATACAAAACAATGATAAAAAGGCTTAATTCGGATGAAAGACTTCATAGACAAACATAAGAATGAAAAGTTCGATACAGCTAAAATACTTCATCAGTAAATAAAGTTATTAAGGATAAAAATAAGGAGAATGAGAAAATTGGAACCTAGCTTTGCAGTGATACGGTGTTCATGTAGCAAATGTTTCGCTAACAATGGTTGACCTATAACGTGCGATACTTGCTAGTTTTAAGATTTAGAGACTAATGAAATGACGCGATCTCAAACACTTTGTGGGTTCACCATCGAGATTGTTTGTTACTGTGAAAAGTAAAAACATTTAACATGAGTGACAAGTTTTATGAATTAATTAATGTATCAACATATTAGTTGCTATTTACACCTTTGTGTTTGAATTTATATACATTTTAACAATATTTGAACGTATCGTGTTTGAATGTTTGTATTTTATTTGCATTAAAGAAACATCCGTTTATATTAAAAAATGAAAAACATAGAAGATTGTAGTCCAGTTGAATTTCTTTTCAGAATTTCTGCAAACTTACAACAAAGAGTTGAATAAAAATGTACAGCCAATCTCAGCTGACCCATACAACATATCGACAATCACAGAATGGTGGCAGGCGGCTGCTATGATTCATTGGTAAGATGTAATCACCAGTTACACAATTTTAAAACATCAAGATAAAATTAACCAGTAAGACAATGTAAGTAAATCCTACAATATTTATATTAACATTTTATAAAAATATATAATTTTTAATGTATTGTTTTAAACAAAAGTAACATTTGAGTTATCCTGATTTTTTTTTTAAAACAAGAGCTTGAAGCTTAATATATTATAGAACACACCCGAATAGTATGTAGTGAAAAAGTCTCCCATTAATATGTAGTACCTCCCAATATATAGTATATATTTAGAGTTGAATAAAAATGTACAGCCAATCTCAGCTGACCTATACAACATATTGACAATCACAGAATGGTGGCACTAAAATATTTTACAGAATGTACCCGACTAATATATAGTATAGACTTTATCCCACTAATATACATTATAGACTGTACCGCGATCATATATAATATACCCCCACTAAAATACAGTATAGAATGGTCTCAGAGTCATCATAGACTAACATGCATCACTGACTACACGGCGCGTTACGGACCGCCCTTCCGCGCCATGGCTCACGCCCGAAATTAAGAAAGCGAAGCAGAAGCGGTGACGTGCAGAACGCCAATGGTGGAAGTCGGGCATGACCGTGCACCGACAAATCTTTGTTGACCACAGGGAACGAACCAAGAAGTTGGTCCTTGCAGCTAGTACTTAGCATGCTAGTCATCAGATTATAGATAGCAGCTCAAGCAAGGACTTATTTCGCATTGTGGGTTAGCTGAACGTTAAACACAAGACTACATCTCTGCCAAATAACATTGCTATAGGTGAGCTTCCAGACGCTCTAAATGACTACTTTGTTATGAAAGCTAAGAAGATCAGGGCTAAACTTGGCAGTTTCATCGATACTGCTCCATAATTCTCACTCTTCAACGGCTCTCCTATGGGTGAATCTGTTGAGGTCAGTTATCG